TGGTGGCGCCCGTATCCCAGCACGGGAGAGGCTGAGGCAGGAGGATGGCAGCATGTTTGAGGCCAGGGTCGGCTACATAAGCGAGTTCAAAGACAGCCTTAACTACATACACAGACCCTGCCTCAAAAAAAAAAAAAAAAGTCGGGGCTGCAAGCGTGTTTCATTGATGGAGCGTTTCCTTAGGATGCACGTGGCCCTGAGTGTGATCCCCAGCACCACCAGAAAACATTATAATGACCTGAGCATTTTCTACATATCTTCCCAGAGTACGGAAACGGCTAAGACGACACCTATTGGAAGTACTTTAAGCTGGGTGAAAGTCTATTTTAAAGCAGGGGTGCAGGCGCGGGCCTGTTACCCAGCCCTGGGGCGCCTGAGGCAGGAGGATTGCAGCAGTTAGACCCGGCTGGGCTACAAAGCGCGCTCAAGGCCAGCCTGAGCTGTCTGGCAAGACACACACACACACAAAAGTCTATCTGAAGGAAGTCATTTTAAACAAGTATCCTCTATCCTGTGTTTCAAAATAGTATCTCTTTGTTAAAGGAGTGCAGTGAACTGCTGACAGGAGCTTTTAGAGGCTGACCACAGTTATTGAAAGCATCTGTGCGGCCAGGGTTACATAGCTCAGCGGCGCGGCGGCTGTCTGGCTAGCTCATGGTCCCGAGTTTGATTGCCGGGACAGGAAAAAGAAAAATGTGTGAGTGTAGCAAACGGCTTTGATTCACCAAGCAAGGCCCAGAAGCTCTGGTAAAAGTGATTCAGCCGCAGGCTGTTTAAAGCGCAGGAGAGCAGAGGGCCACAGCTGTCTAGGGGAAAGCCCGGGTTCTGCGGGTGTTTTTTTTGTCTTTTCAGACAGGGCCTCGCTATGCAGTTCCGGCTGGCCTTGAGCTCACTTTGTAGCCCAGGCTGGTCTTGAACTTGCAACGATCCTCTGCCTCAGCCTCCGGAGTGCTGGGAGTGCAGGCTTGCGCCATCATCTGTGGGTGTTTTTAGTAAGACAGCTGCTACTTATTCAATTAAAATGAGACTGACTCACCTTTGCCTTCCATACCCCCACCCCCACCCACCCCACATGGCCCGTGAGGGTGGAGGGAAAACGCTCAGGATGGAATGGTGAGGTTTCAGCCAGGGGACATCCTGGTGCTCTGTG